AGCACAAACACAGCTGCAATCTCCTTTACGCCATCTACATCTAGCACCTCTCAAACAAACGGGGCTTCCTCTGCATCTGCGATAAAATCGACGCTGGCGCCGACAGGAAATCTTGATCTCCTCTTATCCCTTGATGTTGCTCTCCAGTTGATTCACGCCGACCGTGATGCACTCAAACGCTTGGAGACCTTTGCGTCGTACCCCGGTCATTATGGAATAAGGGTGAGAGAAACGATCGAAGAAGCATTCTGCGAGATGCTAGGAGTATTGTGTAACAGGCATCTAGAGAAAGGTTTTGGAATGTAAGTGATCTATTTTGCGGGTCCATCACTCGTTTGTATATTTGTCATAAGGTAACCTTCCGTGTTGGCAGAGCAACAGAGCGGATGAATTCATACAAACCATCAGAACACGAAGAAACTGCCAGTGTGGCGCCGCTGCTGCAATTTTTCGAGCTCGTCCACATAGGGGATACGATTCAAAGCATGGTACAAGTATTCTTTGACAAAGAATTGGTATGTGCATTTTGATATCACGGACGTTTCTCCAGACTCTGTTACCTTTGTCAGGCTCCATACATCGACAAAACGGACTTCCTGAATGTGGTCGTGAGAGAGAAGAAACGCTTTGAAAATACACTTGATGACTGTGTTGCTGCAGGGCTTAATGCTGGAACACAGGTGCTAATGAATCAGGTGTGTAGTTGTGCTTTCCAAATCCTTCTTTGCAAATTCATTGGTGCGTTAGGTTGAGCACGTCATCCTGACGTTGACAAAACCACGGGAATATTATCCCCCAGAAGATGCTCCACTAGAATTAGGTCCCACTCGGGGCTGTACGGAAGCTATCCGATGCCTAGATATGCATTGTAAGCTTCTCAAGGGCAGCACGAGCAAGGAGGTACTTGAAGTGTTCTACCAAGAGGTTGGAATCCGGTTATTGGGGTGAGTGTGCAGATGTTGAGACACCTTGTTGTGGGAGGCTGATGTGATGGCACAGTATACTGCAGAAGCATATCAAGCGCCAGATCATCTCTCTGAATGGCGGTTTCCAAGTCATTGCCGACCTCAATGCTTATTACTCCTTTATAGCCTCTCTCAAGGCCGGTCCATCTCCGCTGATTTCAATCGCATGCCTGACGCCTATGCCTTGTGAATAGGTACCTAATATCACTGCGGATTTCTCGCATTTGAAGATGTTGGGACATGTCTTTGTCGTGGAAGACGCAAAAGATCTGGCACAGATCGTGAGAGATGTGACAAGATATGGTGGAGCATATCGACCCGAGGTATGCGGTTTTCCAGCGCTATCGCGGAACAACTCCAAATGATGATTTCGCTAGGATATTTATGAATTTATTCAACGACGCGCTGATTGGAAAAAGATTGAGAAGACGGTAGACAAGACGATGTATAGTTTGAGCTTCAAGGAAGATTGTATTGTTTGCTGAGCTTAGTGACTGGAGTGTATCATGACGCTACGTACCAGCTGTGTTATAGAGTTGACTTGGCAGAAGGGAAGCGTCGTCTTTACACACCGCCAGCTCGGTCGTACCGCCGTTCTAGGCTACTTATGTGGTGGTGAAGAACTCCCTTACAGTTTTAATGCCGTACCAGTATTGTAGCCGAACATATAGCATGTGGGGCCTGGGCGAACCCATAAGTACTTATATAATAATAACCTCCGCCGGTGCCAGTGCGGTTGACTATCTAAGTACTAGTCAATGTTAATGGCGCTATTCGGTTTGGTCAGAGACTAACGCTCATGGGCCGTATAGTAGTAACTTCTTTTCATGGCAGAAGGCAGCCGAACCTGCTAAGTGCTTCTTCCCTGCGGCTTGCCTCACACACCAGCAGTTTGAGAGTTTCTCACTATGCAAGATTTGTTTCGAAATGTTAGTGATAAAGTTGGCATTCTTACGTATATACATTTTGACACAGTGAAACTAAAAAAAATTGGACGAGTGGCTAAATCCTGGGTGAAATTCTACATTTTATGAATTATTTTGACACTGTAAAAGAAAGCCGTTCAACCAGCAGCAGGATCTGAAGAAAAATGTTTGAACATTTTGATTCAAATCTCACATGGGGTGAGATGTCAGCAAAATTTGAATGAAACACATTTTGCTGGAGTTTTTACCCCAGGTGAGATTTGAATCAAAATGTTCGAACGGGGGTAGGCCCGCACGTGAAAGCTCAAACGTATCGACCAATTAGACTTGTGTAAAGGAAAATTAAACTCGATAGATCTTGCTGCCAGTTAAATGTCTTTCTTTTACGGTATCAAAATGGTCCATAAAATGTAGAATTTCGCCCAAGGTTTGGCCACTCATCCATTTTTAAAATTTTTACTGTGTCAAAATGTATATAGTAAAAATGCCAACTTTATCACCAACATTTCGAAACAAATCTTGCATAGTGAAAAACTCCCAAACTGCCGGTGCGTTCAGTGTTTCTCCTTCATCAAGCACAATGGCGGCCGATTCCACGGAGCTAATGTGGGAGCCAGGATTCATTGGTGAGTCTTCTGAAGATCTGACGGCTGGTCTTCGATTCCTCCTAGCTGACTCTAGGCTTTGAAGGATTTATCATAACTACAGCGTATGGACTCGTGCCATTCAGTCTCTACTACTGTGGGTTGACCTGCATGATTTCAAAGGCTCTACGGGACAGCTTTCGGACAGTATCTCTTCTACGTGCGATGGTTTCCGCAAGATTCGAGAGAACTCAAATTATTTGTGAGTCCAACTTGTGTGCATCAACGAAAGCATCGTCAATCTACACCTCTGATATAGATAACAATGGCCTTGTGGGCGCTTTTCATGATGCTCGATCATGATTATACACTGATACTAAGACGATGTCTCGCAGTTGTTTGGACACAATACAGGAATACTCGTTGATAGGGATGTACTGGTCTATCTTTATTTCGTGCCGTCGTAGCATGTCCCTCGAGTGCACCACTCAACTTCCGTGGTAAGTCGATAGAATTGTTCCTGATAAATTGACTCATAAAGAGGATAGGCAGGTACTGGCAAGTTCATTTTTATTGATGTAGCGTACTGCATATTGAACGTTGCCTACGAAGCTCGCTGTACTTACGGGAGTAAGTCTCCCGTATCTGGCTGTTATTAACATTAATTGACAAATTGTAAGTATTGGATCATTTTCGCCGTTCAGTGGTACGTGGTTCCTGTTGCTGGCTTCCTGTAGGACGACGCCAAATTTACTTCGGCTGTCGAAAGTTTTTATGCATCCAGGGTGTGGATCAGTGAGTACTCTAGGATCTACAAGAGTAAAGTTTCAAGGAGCTCCTTTAGTCACGGCACAAAATCGCTTGATAACAGGCACTGTTGTGAGATGCCGTTTTCATCATTCTTGTTGCGGAGAGTTCCAACATAAACTTTCAGTGCGCACTCGCAACTGCATCATTCGGTCAGCTCTTTCGATCTCAGTCACATAACCTCTGATTTTTGAACGCTGCAGTGTGTGGCATGAGTTGCGTCAATCCTTCATGTCCCCTCTCAATGTTCTAATATCTTGCCGTATCCGTCTCCAGTCATAAGTGGTTTAATGTAAGGCGATCTCGTTCATTGAGCTCATATGACTTCTCATATACTTTCAAAGAATTGTCACGCGAAACCCTGAAGTTCTATTCCATACGAAGGTCCAGTCAGCCTTAACATAATTTTGATGAGCAAGGAATTCATACTTGGATTTAGTGGATACAATTAGCGTCCTGCGCTAGTGCATTATGTGATGCTGTCATTACAGGGTCAATTTGGTGGTTTTTGCGACCGGCGCGAACAGGCTACATTCGGTATGTGCCTCTGCTATGCTTATGGTCTGACTCATACAGCTACGCATGTCAAGTTCGAGGGGTTATCTCAATGAATTGACGCTGGTTTTTATTCAAATGGGATTGTTTTCCTTGTATGTGTAACTTTGCATTCCTATTGAACACTTTATTTCACATGATTTATCCCGCAGCCTTTTGGCAACTTCCATGGCTATGATCGTAAGTCTTCTCATCCACATCCATGCAAATCACCGGAAAAAATAACAATCAGAACTATTGCAGTATCAGTTCCAGGAGGGTCTTGGTAGTCAATTCTATACCGCTGCACCTGGAGCGGTGATAGGAAACTGTCAGCGATACTATATGTTCCTTATGCACTACGCAAATACTAACCCTCTCGTTCATAGCCTATACTATTTCGATGTTATCAGTGTGAGTCAATCAGTCCTCCATACGAAGCTCGCTAAACTGCTAGTTAGGCTCAATGCCAGGAAGTCCGTTCGCGACCGGGAACGACTTGCTCGCGACGTAATAGAGCTTCCTGCGCTACCCACAATACTTTGATTTTTTTTAGTTCTGCTAGTACCAGACGTATGTTCTTTGGCCAGCGTATGGGTCGTCCCATCTATCCCACCCCTTCCAGTTTTAATCGTTAATCGTAATTGATGCTCTTTACATAGAATCCATGGACTACATTCTCCAGATAAGTAACAAAACTTCATCTCACAGGACTCGGGCACGTGGTAAGGTACAGAGAATCTGTTGGGTAGTATCCGATTCGCCGACTTGAGGTCTTGAAGTGGAGTTCTGAGCTGAGAGGCCCGTGATCACTATTGGCGACTTATGATAGTGTAAGAACACGAAACAATACTTACCTCCACTTACAGCTGCTTCCATATCCTACACGCAAAGTAGCTTTCCGTCGTTGTGTTCCACTGACGAGAGCATATATCGGACCTTGTGCGACGCGAGGGCAAACTCATATATCATGATGACCGGCGTGAGCTTGCTGGGGACGGGGACGGGGACGGGGACGCAAACGATATGCCTAGTATGGTTTCGGACCTGCACCAGTGCCGCAGCGCGTCAGCCGCCCAAGGTCTAGGTCTCACATTATTGATTCATCCGTTGATCATACTGTCCGGCCGGACTTTCACCTCCCGGAATTAACGATTCCCAGATGCACTCCGTTTCGTCGGATGGTGGTCTTAGCCAAGTGGTACTACCGCGACGGAATCAAAATCTGTTTCACTTTGACTGCGCAGGTTCGAAACCTGCTGAGCTCTTTTTCTATCGGAATACACCTTGATATTGACTTATGGATGGATTCCTCAGGGGTCCATCTAACTGGTCTTAGCCAAGTGGCTACCACAACAGAGTCAAAATCTGTTGCTCTTGGAGTTGGTTCGAAACCTACTGACAACATTTTTGCGGTGTATAGATCCTCTGAGGTCCTTGTTAACTAGCGCCGGCGCCGAAACCTCTTTTTATGTGATAGTCTGTCCATGAAAAGGGATTCGCCTTCACGTCCTGTGATGGCTTCAGCTTTTCCTCGGAAATTTTTCTAGTTATCATCTTCAACTCATGGGCATGAGAGAAGATGATTCAACGAGAACGCGATGCCGAGAACCTAAACACCATTCATATGCTGTAGCTGTTGGTTCCATCACACTAATTATTCACTGTAAGTAATTCTCATCCATCGCTATCGATTTCTTAATCTCATCTGACCAAGTGAAACCAACCTTCACAAGTTGATCGTGTTACGACCACTGTTAAGCATGCACTGCTTAAGCTTTCCGGTTTACTAAAATAACGCAAACTTGGTGGTGGCCCATCATCGGACAAACCTCTCAAAGGAAAGGAATTCACGGTGCTCAAGTTCTGACTACTAGTAAATCCAACCCTCTAATTAAGTTTGTAAGGGCGGGTATGAGTTCAGCAGGGAATTGTGAAAAAACGATGCAGAAATGAGACGAGTGCAAAGGAATTCGAGAAGAATAGGAAGACGTTAGAACTTAGGACGGTTTTTCGGTCGTACTTGGAGCGGGGATCCGACTATTGGATTCGCTGTAGGTATGAGTGTACATGGGCAGTATATATACTAGCACGTTTTCGAATACTTAACTAGGCCGTAACGAGCATAAGAAGCATATGGCGAGCCTCCAGGTGAAAGTAGTCGGTGAAGCAAGGAGATCGTGAAGTCTGAGCACAAGGTGAGATAACGAAAGAGAATGAAAAGGAGATGCCTAAGGGAATGTATCCACGTGCACGTAACTCGGATGCGAAGAGTTGCGCTCTTCGCATCAATGAGTCACGTGGACGACTTCGACCGCATGGTTCGAACTTCGAGCGTCTTGCATGGTCGGTATATCATTTGTCAGAACCTGTCTATTGAAATGTACTCATTCTCATCACACATGGGTCTGACAGTGAATTTTCCGCAGCTTTTCTCGATTGTTGCCCTAGGGCTCACTACTTTTCAAAGGATACCGCCGATGATGTATACCTTGGATGCATTCTCCAAATGATAGTACATGATGAATTGGTACTTGTGGGATAAGCTGCGGCCTGTCAAATTATTCAAGCGCCGCGCGTTCTCCGCGACTCAAAAAGTCCAACGGATCCCTTGCGTTCGACTCAAATCCAAGCACGTCTCCTAGTCCTCCTGAACAAGTGTCAGGAGCAACGTCTTGAATCTTCTATTCGACTGACTGGGGTATGTTCCGTTGACGACAACGTTCAATGTGGACAGGTCCAGTCATTCGAATAGTACATAATACCGCGCATACATCTATATATATATCGCAAGGGGAGCGACGCCGTCTTTGAATTAGTTCTACTGGGTTGACTAGGAAACTTCACATGCACTGGGAATGTGGATGGGCCGAGTCATTCGAATAGTACATAACGCTGCGCATGTATCTAGGGAGCGACTCAGACGTCGTCTTTGAATTAGTTCTACTCGATCGACTGAGCGGGTTAACATTCGTATGGAGGCCTAGTCATTCGAATAGTAATATTCATGTGCTTTTTAACTTTTGCTCGCGTTCCAGATTCAAATACAACGTAGAGTTCAAGTCGAGCCATACATCCAGACCTATCATTAGTAGAAGCCCTGTCCGTCCATAACAAGCGACTGTCAGATGTGAGTATGAGGTGGTGTCATATATGTCGACGGCTGACTGCTAGACAACTCTAGACCTTGAATAACGGCAGGTGCATCAAACAACCGTTACAACTCTCACCCACCTCAAATTTTTTTTTCGAGAAATCCGAGAAATCCGACTGGTAAGTTGTCAAGCTCAAGTCCGAACTCCAGCAGAAGACGACACGGGAATCACACGATCAATCAGCGCGTTCCTTTGATATCAATATCGAACGGCTTCGTGTGTACCGTTTTACCGGTTCATGGAAAATTTAGTCAGTCAAGGTACAAGATGGAGAGGTCCAAATTCCAAGGTCCAAGGCCCCAAGGCTTGGAATCGAGCGCTGAGCGGTGATAACTTATCTATCAAGAGCGCCGAGGTTAATATCGCGCTCGCCCCGCCGCCTCGAATTCGCTTGCTAAGCGCATTCATCTGCATCAATATTCAACCGCGCATGCTGTGGTCTTGAAGGAAGTTTGTACAGTCTGTTGAATGTCTTCTGCAGGTTATCATGCATCAATTTTTCCTCGCGATCAATCAGACGGTATCGCAAGATCTAGAGCACCCAGAAACAGTCATGTGCCAAAGAAGGCTTCCTTTGACAATAGAGTATTACTTAATGCAAGGGAAGAAGCAATGGGTATGTCTGATGCTGATGCGCTGGTATAGAACGATCTCATTTCTGCGGAAATGAAAACGTCTATCGCCTCGAAGTATCTGATTATGAAAAGGCCTAGAGCACGATGGTGGAAGAGCGACTCACGGACTACCGGATGATTATTGTACTTTTGTGAGATAAGGGATGGTGGACCTATAGTGAATTTGAATTACGGGGAGGGTTTAGCCGTGTCCGGTCACTCATGAAGATGACAGGGTATGCAGCTGTCGAGCTTTGTGAGAATTGCCAAGGATTTGCATGATGTCATCTTTAGGTGTTTCTAAAATAGTCACGATATTGATAACAACACGGAATATTGCTTACGATGTCGTCAGAATTGGTGATAGTTAAGGCTGGAGGTACTACGCGGATCCGGACCTGATTGAAGGTACCGACAGAGGTGAAGCGAGACGTGAGAGACTGCCATTTGTTTTCAGGTGGAGTGGGTGAGCCAATAGGCAAGTGGTTGGTTGAGGCGGGGGGCGATGATGAACTTTAATGGGGACCTGGAAGCTTATTGGTAGAATGGAACGTGATCAGATAGGATAGCATATGGTTGTTGTGCGGAAATTTCAAAGGTTCCGCGGAAAGAAAAAGGAGTTGCTAAGAGACGGATGAAAGACAATAGTGATTCAACGACGTCGACAAGGTGAGCCCTCTAAGAGATATTTGTTGTTGACGGTGTTGTCGAAAATGATTCAAACTTGTGCATAAAGGACGTGAACACTGTGATCCACGTTGAGCTCGATGGATGAAATGAGTTGATTGAGCGGTTGATAGACTAATCTAAATTTGTATCGTGAGAAATTGGTTGTGAAATTGGTTTTGAGTGAGCAGCGCTTAAGCTTCAGCTAAATTGAAGACGACGATGACCAGGACGACGGTTACAGCGACGACGACGGTAATGGCCACATCAACTGAACACCGTATGATAAGTAAACATACTCCAGTTCCATTCCTACTCGAAGCTTTTCCTGTACCACCCTCACATATTCCAGTCTCTCCAGTCTCTCCGGTCTCTACTAATCCACCACCTTCCCTACCACCGACTGCACCACTACCACCACTACCAGGTCCATCCGATACAGTCCTTTTCGTTCGCAGAAACTCTTCAATACGTTCTATATCTTCTTCTAGTTCAGATCCTCACTCTCCTATAAGAACTAGAACTAGAAACGGAAGCCTCTCAAGTTTACGTTCATTCCATAGCGCAACAAGAAAACCTTCCTATGATCTGACCCATACAATATCAGAAGAAGGTCCTTACAACATTCCAGATGCGCTCAAACCTGCCTTTATCATCCCCTCGCCACCCGACAGACCTGGCTCAACAAGCCCAGACGTTCCAGCTATCATACAAGCAACTCCACGTCCACGCTCGCGCCCTCGTTCGCGTCCCAACAAGTCACGTTCGAGGGCAAACAGTCTTAATGGGTATAGATCCTCAGGGTCGTCAAAACACTTGCCCAATCCTCACGAGTTCGAAGTTGAAGTAGAAGACCAGGATGCCCCCGACTCCGATTCCAGCATCGATCTCCATACCCCTTTGCCGTGAGTTTCAGTTCCATTTTTCCCTTTCTTCGCTTCCGTCTCGTCCGGACCTCTCGTAATTTCGCTCATCCTCTCTTGTCAGCCATCTCATGCTTCGACACGGTCTCCTCTCTCCCCACTCCAAACTCCTCCCATCATCACCTCCAGCCCCAAATCGTCTCTCCATCGCCTCAAATTTATCACAAGCGTCCCTAAAGTCCAATTTCTCAAACCAATCAGACGCGTCATTGCTCACCAATAGTTCCACCGGAAGCAAGCATCCAAAGGATTCGAGGGACACTCCTGGTAGACGCGTGAGGCATCGTGATGGAAGGTTGTTGAGAGGAGGCATTGGCCTCACAACTGGTTTGGGATGGAGTGATAGGTGAGCATTTAAGTCGTTTTAGACTGGCGGTCTCAGTTGGACTTGCCTTTACCCTCGCGCTTTTATCCCCTGCATGTTCGCTTCTCTGTCTTATGTCGCTTCCATTGCGCTAAGAACGGCGGTTTACGCGGAGACACCGCCCCGTCGAAGATCAAGGGCATCAACATCGCCGCTAGGCCACGCGCCGAGTTCTCGTTCTTCTCTCCTTCTCTTCGCATCCAAATCCAAATACTAACACTCCAAACAGTGAAGACGAAGACGCCCCCTCCCCACTTACACGCCGTCTCTCAGCGCTCAACCTCTCCCGACGCTCATCCGCCACGTCCATATCCACATCCCAATCTTACTCCTCCCTCCGCTCGCCACACCCTCTCTCACGCAGCATCTCCCATTCTATCCTGCGCGAAGAAGAAAACGAAGAAGAAGTGGATGAGTTTGGGCGCGTCGTCCGAGGAGCCGACTCTGCACGCACAGATGACGGGCGCGTCATCCTCGACGGACAATTCTCCAAAAGCCTCCCACCTAGAACCAAGCCTCTCACCTGTCGTCCCAAATCCCGCCCTC